CCAGCACTTTTACAGTAAAAGTAATTTCTAATTTCTAAAAATAAAATTTAAAGCATTACCTTTACATTTTTCTAGACTTTATTTGTTCAAAAAATAGAGAACATTGAAGTATTTGTGAACAAAATAATGTCTTAATTGTTACGTTGTTGATGGATTTTTCTTTCTCTCTTTTAATTGTAGCTGGAATTCCTGCTCCTATATATTTTGGAGCTTTAGTGGACTCCACATGTTTACAATGGGGAACTTTGAAATGTGGTGAGCCAGGGGCATGCAGGATGTATAATATCACCAATTTCAGGTACAGATAATTATTTTTTTTATAACTGCTTTCTAAGCAATAGATTATGTATAAAAATGGTACTATTCATATCTAACATTTTGTCAAGTAACTAGAATCCTTTGACTTTATTTTCAGAATAGATACTGATACTTATATATATTTATGTATTAGTGGCTGACTTCCCTAGCCTAACCTTTCAAAATGTTGTTTGTTAAATTGTCAGCAATCGATACACTATTGAAGATAATGTTTGTACTTAAGTTACTCATCAAAATTATATCACACTCTAAAGTATTTCCATTTCCTCTGACATCATTTCAGCATCCTACTAGCCTGAATCTCCACTAACTCTCAACCATACCCCCTCCCTCTGACCTGGCCTCTAAAATGATATTTATTCTCCCTCTTTACCTCTTGGCTGAAATGATACTCTTCTAATGGCTAATTTTTTGTTAATATTGATCTCTTTTTGAACAGAAGTCTTTTATTAATATTAATCTGTTTTTGAATGAAACTTTTTTGTTTTGATCTTTATATTTTTATATTCTTTTTTTTCATACGGAGATCTGAATTTTGTAAGAAAATGTTTTAATTTTAAAACAATTTAAAACAAAACAACAATTTATTGCTATTCAAAGCATTCTAAGTTCTTCATCTTGATCAGTAAAAGGATATATGTCAAGAACTGTGAAGGACATGAGATTTTGCCCGGCTGGCAAGACAGCAAATTAGCCTGTCGCAGTTTCATGGATGCAATGAGTCAAGAGATAAGATCCAGATTCAATTGTTGTGTATCTAGGGAGAAAATTAGACATACATAAAGACAAGAACTAGACTAAGCGATCTGCTCCCTCTGTGACTATCCCCATTATTACTACGAAAAAAATCATCTTTATAAAAACTAGGTTCTGGACATTGAGGACCTGGGACGTTGGGTAATAAAATTATTAGATTTGGAAGAATACTAGAAAGGAATAGAGAGAGAAAAACAAAACAAACAATCAAAAACACAAAAGGAGATTGCAAAATAAAACTTAAGAACACATGAACAAATCCAATGGCAAAAAAAGATAGCACATAAATTACCCAATGAAACATGCTAAAATTTAATTTAATGTAAAAGCCTGGCAAAGTCTTTAAAATAAGTATACTTAGTCAGCTCAATAGCATGAAATTACTAATAGTATAAAATTATTTTATGCTGTAAAATAAGTATATTTATATTGTATTTATAATGTATTATGAAATACCTATAGTATAAAAATAAGAAATATTAAATGGATAGAATAATATCCATTAAAAACAAAAATCTAGCAGAAATGACATAAGAATATAAAAAGAACTATTGGAAATATTAGACATTAAATGTATAGCATTGAAATAAAATAGAATCTTAAATATATGATACATTCCAAATTCAAAAAATATTTAAACTGAGAATTAGTGAACTGGCAGGGAATATTAAAGCCTTTGTCTACAATGCAACATGATAATTTGAAGAGATTAAAAAAAAAAAATGAACAACCACCTCAGATGTAAGAAAGGCTAACTGACAATTAAAACGTATCTCTAAGAGAATTTCCAGAAACAGAGAATGAAAGATATGGCAGAGATAAATTAGATAAATAATAGCTTAAAGTTCCATATAATTGAAGAGAGACATGAATTTTCAGATCAAATGTCCACTTCAAGTGCTTAACAGAATAAATATAAATAGGTACAGAGAATAAAATTCAAAAACCTCAAGGTAAAGGAAAAACAGCAACAACATAAAAGCTACCCAGAGAAATAAACAGATTGCCTACAAAGAAATAACAGAACAATAGTGTATAGCTCATCAAAAACAACAGATCCTGATATTTTTATGACCCTTATGGCTTTAAGTTTGGATTGAAACAAAAACACAAATCATAAATTAAAAAAAACAGGAAACTTTAATTACACATAAGATTTCAAATTTTCTGTAAAAGAGAGCACACTGGAGGCAGGGCCAAGATGGTGGAGTAGTCAAACACTTCCTGTGGTCCCTCTTACAACAAAGACCCAATAAATAAAGTGAATTGATTATATATGACAATCTAGGAGCCCTGAGCATCAAAGACAAAGTTGAGGAATCGGACTGAGTGTCAGGGGGAGGAGAGATGGTTCGGAAGCAGCGAGTAGTTGCCAGACCTGACCCAGTGGGAGCCAGCGCCGTTCAGGCCAGATTGGCTCGCATGCAGGGTGAGGCGAGCAGTGGCACTCAGGAGGTGTTTTCCACATCAGGAGAGACCCAACGGCAGAGAGTCTACTTGGGCATCCAGATCCAGTGAAAAGCAGCACTCAGTTGGTAAAAGATAAGTACTTGCATCTGGCCTACCGTGCGGATCAAAAACACCCCCCTTTGGGAAAAAGCTCTCTCCCATTGACTTCCCCCTCCCCACT